GTTGTTGGGCGGCGCTGTTGAGAATATGGGGTAAATTACCAGGTTACCATGCTGTAGGATGTCATCACGTACGGACGTGATTGTGTTTTCTTGTCCTGTCCGCCTCAGCTTTATTTCTTTCCCATGCCAGGCACGACGGACAGCTCTCGATGATCCACTGCTGCAGACAAAAGCACCTCGCTGCTGCCATTGCGAACCAGCAAAATTGAGTAGAGTTTTTCGGAGGGGGGCTGCGAGATGAACGAGCGACTGGCGATATATGACCATTCAGTTTGAGCAATTTTTGGGCGGATCGATTTTTGAGCACATTGGCTGCCTAAAGTGATGCGATGTGATGCAGAACTACTCTGTGGAGAGGGCGAAAGTATTCGTGCCATGGCCATATTGGATGTGTCTCAAGGGCATCCTCATGCGCCATGACCAAATGCACTTTGTGCGCTAATTTGCTTTCATGCGAGAGCTCCAGGTCCACAAGGCTTCACCGGCTCAGTGCCGTGGTGTTTTTCGTCAGGGCCCGAGAGAGTCCAGCTGAGGTTGTGAGATGGGCTTGGAACCGTTTCAGATGGGTGAGCTTGGGTGAGCCACTGGGCCAACTCAATCCACATGCTCAACCGTCGAAGTAACCAGGAGTGCCTGTTGCAGCCCGCCGCACTGGCTATGATGGATGTGTTGAGGGTTTGATTGCATAAGTTGTATAAGTTCATGGTAGGAAATTGTAGGAATAAGTGACGCAGCAGGCAACGGGGATGCACCTCTCATAGTGAAGCTAAGGTCTTGGTTGAGAAAATGGTAGAATCATCAGGCGGGATTTTGGGATCGTGGATGCGGAAAAGCTGCATCATGGAACCGCCAAGCGGACTCTCCGAGCTATCCCTTGGTTCGATCCTAGCTTCGCAGGGAACGGTTCCAACCTTGCGCAGCCCGCAGCGCCAATTTCATGTCGCAGGCCTTGGAAAATACCTCGCCCCACCTTTGCTGGGCCGATGCCCCGGAAAGTGCGCCCAAGGGCCCATGGGATTTGGGCCAGCCACACATGGTCACAGGATGGCCAGGGTGGGCAGTCAATGGTAATTGCAGTTGTTGCTGATTGAGGCCACTTGGCATGACAATTGCAATGAGACAAACCACGTTATGTTGGGCTGTCTTTACTCATAGCTGTCACCCCTTTTTGAGAAGCTCATGTTTGTGAAGGCTTGAAAGTAATTGCCTCTGGTCAGCTTTGGGGGGGAATAGACGGAGCAAGTTTGTTGCCAGTTGGACCCCTTTGTCGAAAAGCCATTTCTTTTTACTCCATTTTTCACTGATTTCAAGGGGCCGATAGTGAGGAGGAAACGGAGGGGCTGGGAGCGGAGAGGGAGACACACGCTGCCACAAGCTACCAAGGAACCTCATTTGTGGATGTACAGGTGCATGGAAGGATCATGTTTTTTTGTTTTTCTCTCTGGGGTCGCCTTACCTCTGCTTTGTTCTATCTCATTGAGGCATGTTCGGCCTTTTCGGCATCCTGATCTCCCTAGATGTATGTGGGCAGGGCCGAGGCCCTAGATGGAAGCCTCTGGCTCTGGAGCAGTGTGGGAGGTTCTTCTTTGCCAGCTCTCGAAGCGGCGCGGTTCTGACATGGAAACAGGTCTTGAGTTGCGTGTTTCACACACACATAAAATATAAATATACATATATATATATATGTATATATATACACATGTATGGGTCCCTCGACCCTGAAACATACCCCCTCCTCAAGCTTCCTGGGTTGGCAACGGCAAACAAATACAAACTCATGGGAGCCGGCGTGGCGAATTCAATTCTCATTCATCCGTGGTCACGAGCAGGGCATCAGACTACATCACGGAGGTGAGCTTGTCCTTGCCATTCAGCATGCTGCAGATGGTGTTGAGAGTTTCGGGCCGCCTGAGGAGATCTCGCAACTCAGATCTATCAGCTCACGCCTTAGCACAGGGGAGGGTTTGTGGGCATTGTCTTGCATACAGAAACCCGTCAAAGGCTGGGAGATGGCTGCCGGGCCATTTTGGCTGGACTTGGGAACTTTCAATACGGCTACCAAATTGACCAACCATTTTTGGAATTTCGCATTCATCATGGGAAGCTGTCCTCCCAGCTTGAGCGGCCCTGACGCGTTTTGCCATGAGAGCTGGGGCATGTTCTTCCATGTGTCCTCGAGGTCCGCGTGTTTCAGCTGCGTTTTTACAACAACAATGGCTCGGGCACGGCCCAATGATTTCATTTTGGGCTTCATGTTTCTTGTTGGGGAGCGCTGGAACTGAGGACCCCTTCCCCTGCCACAAGGTAGGGGGTGACGTAGATCGATCAGCTTGAAGGAAGAATCCACGCAGACGCGTTTGCTACTACTTCCTTTCAGTCTCAAACAGTACAAGCGACACAACGTCACAAGCAAAAACGTGCCAGAGCTTCTAATCACAGAGACTTCAAGCAGAAGGCGCCGCACTGATCGCTCAGGATCCTGGAGCCTGGGTACAGGTTTCTGATGAAGTGGGATCGGCACTCAGACAGTCAGACTCGTCGGCTTGGGATCCGATGGCGCATGAGCCGATCCCAGGCTACCGTTTTCTTCACACCTGCTCTTGTCCGGTGCTTGGTGGCCTCAACTCTGAGTTGCGTAATGTGCTTTAGGAAGGTCAGCGAAGTTGCCACATGGCATGCCCAGAATTTCTGGCAGTGACCTTGCCTGAAGGTCAAACTGCCTTTGGTGAAGGCAGGTTGCCGCTTTGCATCCTAGGGCATTGTGCCAGTTCCTCGGACGACAGTGTTCCCCCCCTTTCAACACGCAACATTTTTAGACTGTACTAAGTCAAGTCCTTAGCCTCTTTGGATCTGTTTTTCTTTGTTCTTTTGGGAAAGGGGTACCCCCCCTCCCCAAAAGACATACCAGTTTTAACGTTGTTGTGACTCAACTGCACGCCAGGAGGCCATCACCGTCAATCAACTACTCCGTCGCGCTGCCTCCTTTTCGCCATGCTACGAGTCAATTTGATGGGATGGTCAAGCAGCCCAAGTTTAGGCTCTTGTGCGACCAAAGGTTCAGCATGAAAAGTAAGTAAACCCCTTCCGTCTTTCACATGGCAGGCCTCGCATTTTTGCTCGTTGCTGGAGCCGTGCTGCAAATGTCCCTGGCTGGATCCTCATGCAGAAGTGCCTTTTCGGCATGGGAGATCCGTACACGGGTTTGACTTTTGCACCCCCCCGTTTTCGGGAATCCTGCCCATGGAGGCACGGTTTTGCGCAGCACCTCTGTCCCATGTCTGGGCAGCATTGCAACTTGATGCTGCTTACGTTCAAGGTTTCGAATAGAACCTTGTGTAGTAGAGGCAATTTGCTCTGATGTCTTGAAATGCGATGTAAAGTTTTGGCAAGCGCGGCGAGGTCGCGACATATGCCAAAGTGCTGGGATCGATGTCAACGGCAGAGACGCCAAAAGCCATAGAGGCTGGCGGGGTGTTCATGTCGTGGCTGCAGCCCCGCTTGCATAGCAAGTGATTCTGCCGAATTCCCTGACTGGAAGGTGTTTGCACTCGCATGAAGAATTCGTTCAGGCAAAGAGAGCGGCTGGATTCGAACAAGCAATTATGCATATCATCTCCCGGTAAACTAGTTGAAGCTATTGGGTCAGGCACCCCTTCCATAATTCTGAAACGTGCGTCCCCTGCAGATCTTGCGCAAAAAAACACCATCCCCTTTGAGACGCAGAGAGCATCCGGATGTTTCTCCAAATCAGGGACCCCTTCAGGCGATTAGCGTTGGTGTTTCCCTTACCCGGGGACGCCATGAGATTCGGTTGAGATGCCCTGCAGGACCCGGATGAGGTTCAGCCCCCGGCTGCATTTGGCATTTGGCACTAGAGCCAGTACCAAGTGCCCAGCTGGCAAAGCGCGCTGGATGAATTTGGCCCTATGCCTCCCTTTTCGCGCGATGCTCCAATTCAGCCATTTGCGGGAGCATGGCCCACAAGATCAGAAGGCCTCAGCAGAGGTTTTGTTTTTTCAGCATTGCCAACTGTCCAATCACATCACTTGCGCCTTTCTCACTTGGCCTCGGTGTCGCCCAGCTCCCGGTGTCGCCCTCGGCCTCTCCGAGTGGTGGAGGAGCCGCAGCCCCAGAATCTTTGGCGCCGTGGCACGTGGCATGT